CTTCAGATCTGACCAGTCTGACCACTAGCAGCTCCAGAAAGACTGTTACACGGAAAAGATAGTTCTTGCAAATGTATTAGGAGGACTGGGTTTTCATCCTCACAGCGCTGAGACTTGAGCTGCAGCATCAGTGCTTCTCTAGATCTCCAGCCTGAAGGCCCACCCTGTAGATTTTGGGCTTGGCAGGCCTCCATATTCATTTGGGCATACAGATCTATAGATACAGGTAGAGATAGGGAGACATATACAGATATATAGTTTCTCTGGAGAACCCTAATACAGAAATTTATAGTAGAGTAAATCCAAGTGGATGATAAATGTGCTCACCCTCATTACTGTCGGAAAGCATATAGACACAACAATGAAATACTGCTTCTCATCCTCCAAACTGACAAAAAAGAAATAATAAAAATACTTTTTAAAAATGATAATCTGCTGGAGGAAAAAGCATTCTCATACACTGCTGGTGGAAATGTAAACTGTTTCTGCCTGTTTGAAAGCAATTTATCAATATAAAATATAAACACATTCTTACACAATAATTCCACTCCTGGAAAACTAAAGATAAAGCACCATTCCTTTGGGTGTAGGTACAATTGTGTTGATTACTGACGAATACAGAAGTAGTTCAGTGAGAGGGACTTCGGAGCTGCACGGATTAATAGGTCAGAGCAAGTATTTTACCCACCCTGTTCAGTTTCCTGCAATGGGGAGGATAACCTTAACTTGGTGACTTTATACATGTAAAATGCTAAAAAAAAAAAAATGCTTTGCAAGTGGTACATACTCAATAGATGTTAGTTATTATTTATATATAGTAGCAAAAAAAGTAAAAATCTTGACTGTAAATTAGGAATGTAGTCAAATTTATGTTACCTTTATAACTCTGAGAGATTAGCAAACAATCATAAGCATTAATTAAATCTATATGGAGTGATTACCTAGAGAAATTAGTGACAACAGCCAGATGAGAAACATGGGGCAATTATATCTATATATATTTAATTATACATTTATGTATTTAAATATATATTTTAAAACTATGAATAGAAATATAATTCCTTGCATTTATAAAAAAATGCCTTGCATTCACATAATAATGATAGTATATGTAACAATCACATATGTAATAATTATATATTTATTCCATTCTTATAAAACAAACCATTCAATAAATATTATTGAGCATCTATGTCTCAGGTACTGTTCTAAATACTTGATTCTGTTCTGTGTGCTGGGCATAATAATTATATGTGTGTTTGTGTGTGTATATGACTGTGATTGTACAATGAAAAAAGATTTGGAAGGATACACATCAAGTTTACAAGGCTGCCTACCTTAGTGATGAAAGCAATTAGAAAAGAAAACGCAAGTAGACATAAAGACTGAAAAAAATGTTCATGATAAAACAGCGTGAATATGACTTGTTTATGTAAAACTGTATATATGCGTAGGGAAGTCTATGAAACAGTGATCACCAAAATTGTATTCCTCTCAGTATAGAGACAATTCAAAGGATGGCCATTTACATACCAATAAAATTGTAAATCAATCACAGTTTATAATTTTGTTTTAGTATCCTTGGAAATCTGAGTATAAATATGTCCTCAGATCTGCAAGGTTACTTCCAGAAATTGCACAAATACACTAATAGGGGAAAGAAAAATTGCTATCTCTGAAGAGTTTCTTGGCACAAATCTGGGCTGGCAAAGTCCTTTCCATGTCACAGCACCAGCAGGCAGACTCATTTAAATTGTGACTTCTCTCCTCCCTGGCCCCTTAAAACAATCCAGACCCACAGGTAGCTGTCCTCCTGCAAATGTGTTCTGCTAACTCTTACTCTGCTTATTCATTTTCCCATGAGAAGCAAGTTGGCCTCATAACTCTTCTTTGGAATTGGAGACCTTAATTCTCACAAAATTGTAAACCAAAGGGTAGTGGGCAGAGAAGTCAGAATGTGGCTTAACAATATCTGGGGTTGGGGGAGGGGAGAGAGACACTTATTATTAAAAACATAAAAACTGGGCACGTGATTTATTTTCCATTTAACATTTCTACATTTATTTGTTAGAGGTAAAAATTATTTTTGTACTTTTTCTTTGCTGATTTTTAAAGAAAAAAGCAATCAAGAGAGGGTTTCTCAAATGGTATGTAGGGATGACACATTTTAATTTTCTTATACACAAACTGCCTTCCAATCCAATCAACCTCACAGAAAGATGTAAAATCTTAACACATATCTTTCAGCATTGATAACAGTAATAATAATTGTGGCTATAAAAATAAGGCCCCTTCTAACTCCAAGTGATTGTGTATTAGAAAGGAATCTAGTGATAACAGTTGAGAAGGAGAAAACCCAGTGAAGCAGGCTAGCTGTAAACTACCCACGTTATAAACCCAACTTTAGAAAAATAATGTCAATGAAAGTGAAACACCCTGCGTGAAAGCACGGCAGACCCGGGAGCCTAGGAGAGACGCCAGCCTTGAGCATCGTATCCAGCCAGTCTTGGAATGTTTCCTGCTGTGTGGCGATATGTTTCATGTGTCACGGCGCTGGGATGAAATACTCTTCCAGGACGTCCATCTCTTCATGCAAGGCCATGCTTTACACACTCTCTGAATAACAAGATATGACATACTTCTTTGGCTGCTAGGCGTTGGTTGGGTCTTGAGAAAACACCTAACCAACCTCTGTTTCTTCAACTGCAAAATGAGGGAGTTGAGTAAAATTACCATTTCTCCAACTTAAGCCAACCTCAGAATCACGTGGATGGGTGACTCCATTCTCAGTTTATAATTGTTCAGAAAGTTGGGGACAGGGCCCAAGAACTTGCAGCCCCAACAAAGAATTATCCAACCCCAAAATGTCAATAATGCTAAGCTTGTGAAACTCAGGTCTGTAATTGTTCTTAATTACTATGACGCCACTTCAAAGGGCCAGTAAGGGTTTTACTCCTAACCAGGCATACAATGAAAGCAAAGTTTTTTTTCCACTCTTTTTACCTACTTAGGACAGAACTTGCCGGGTATCAAAAGCCAATGTTTCCAGATGGCTGTTCATAATTATGTCGGTTCCTCAATGGGCAATCCTGTTCCATCTCCCTCAACTCCCCACTGACATTCTGAAATTCTGCTGTCTCACTACCGGAGCAAAAAATGGGACTTGTACATATGGCAGATGGTTGGGGTCTCAGACACTCATTACTGGTGGAATACTAGTCTCTCCAGAACCCAGGCTCACAAAACATTAAATTTTCTTGGGAATCTAATCTAGCATCTCCTATTTCCAGGGCAATCTTTCTTTTTTCTCTTCCTGTTTGCACTTATTTTAAGCAATAGCTTCGATTTAATTTTAAGTTATAATATTCTTCTCCCTAAATAAAAGCTGGAGCACATTTTATGGTACTAGGCTCCACCATGGAGATAGAAGGCTTTTTAATGCATGTGTGAATATTTAAGATTTAATCAGGGTATGTGAAATGTATTGATACTGCTGAGAATTATTATTTTATGCAAACAGAACATGTAAACTACAGTCTTTTATTTCCTTACATGACACTGGGGAGTACTTGAACTTTTCCAGGAATAAGATTTCTAGTCATTTGTTAAATCTATGTGCCTCTTCCATCATTTACATAGTGGTAACCACAGATGGCTTGTGATGAAATGAACTTTTTAGATTAAGTATTTCAAACATTTAATGGTTTTGTATATAAAAAAGTCATTTCACGATGTTAATAAGATGGTGACATTGCTTGTTCATTGTTTCAAATTGTCTAATTAAAAAGTCTAGCTACCCGACATGCTTAGAGACATGAAAATTCAGACTTTAACACTAGATTGTTGCCTTTGATCATCTAACATTGATTGATTTTAACCTCTTGGTTAACCAGTCCCTTCATTAACATGACAAAATCCATAGACCCTTTCCCAAGAAAAGCACATATATTTGGGTCCTCATAAATTTTACCTGCATTTTGATGGGATGTTCACACAACTGTCATGCTCTTTCACAGAAGCCTCAGAGCATGGGGCCATCGAGTCACCCTTAACCTAAAGCAACATGGGAGGGGTGCAGAGCCTGGATCCAACCTCATGGGCACTTGGGCTCTCCTCTTAGAGCTCCCCAGGCGGGCAAGGGGATGGAGGGGCTCCTTTGTCTTAAAAAACAGGCACATGCCTTCTACAGTTAGAATTTGAGTATGCTTTAGTACTTGTATTTAGGGATATTACTCAAGATTCCTTTGACTGCAAGTCATAGAAACTCAAAGTAACCAGTAGAGGATTGATTGTCCTACACACCTGGGGACTGGATCTAGGGCCTCAACAATGTTAGAGACATTGATATTCTTTCTCAGTCACGATCTCTCTCTTTTTCTTCTCCTTCTATCTTTTGCTTTGCTTTTTCTGTGCTGTCTTTATTCTGAAGCAGATGTCCAAGATTAACTCCTTAAAAGAAAAATTTCTTTCTTCCTAAAAGTTCCATAAGAAGACTTTCAGTGACCGGTCCTGTATTACATGCTGGAGCCAGAGGTGGGTCACACCCATATTAAACCATGTGGGCAGGAAATAGGAAGGAATGATTCCTACAGGGAGATTGAGGGTTGTTGCCAAAATAGGGGGAATGGATGCTGTGCAAAATACACAGTGTTTACTACAGTAAGTATAATAAGTCATTTTAAGGATTAATAATTGATTTTCATGTTTTATCCATCACTATCCCTCATTGCCATGCCACCATTTCATTAAAATAAGCTTTACACATAAAGAATTACTTAGGCCCAGTCACAAGATAGATGGAGGAATCATTTGCTAAAATTTTATTTGGAGGATGTGTCAAATAATCCTCTATATTTGCTGTGAGATTTATGAAATACACTGATTGATCTAATAAATTTATTTATATTTCTCCAGGCACATGTGATACTGAAAAGGTGGCCTGCTACAATTGTGGTGACTTGGTGCAGCCCTCTTTTATAATAATAATGTTCCACATCATGTAGCATATTTCCCTACAGGAGATGACTGTATTTTTTTCTCTTTAATTTTGAAGAGAATAAAAAAAAAATACAAGAAACAATGCAACCATCATCCCAGACCCCTTTATCTGTAAATAAATATTAACATTTTGTCATTTTTGGTGCAAATTTCCATAAATGTTTGTATGATAAAATCTTACATATATGTAAAATGAAGTCACTCCAGAGTCTTGTTTATTTTCTTTTCTAGGGGTAACTACATGATTTGACTTTTTATGGACTGTTTCAGAAAACAAATAGACTAATATAACAAATGTTTTGTTTGTATAGTCATAATTAAACTTAAAACATAAATATTGACAATTAAAGTCCCTGTAGGCACCTCCCCAGTCTCATTCCTATCCCCTTCCAACAGAAGTCATCACTATGACAGGTTCAGTATTTGTCATTTCCATGTGTATTTTTGTCATATGGCTACTGTACACACATGCATGAGCAGACACACACACAATCTTTAAAGTAGGCTTTCTTCATTTTATATATGATATATCTACACACTATGTTAATAAACTTGTATACAATCATATTATTATATACATAAACTGTATATTTATAAATACAAATGCTGTATGTACTCAAAAACTTGCTTTATTTGTACAATTGTTTGTTTTGAAATTTACCCATGTTGAATTTATATAATTCTAGTTCATTTATCCATGGTATAAAACTTCTGAAATTAGTCCGCAAAGACATGGCAGCTTATGTCCTGGGCTTCTCTCTCTGGGATGGCTTGTCCTGGGAGGAACCAGGGGCCATATCTTGAGCAGCCCTCTGGGGAGATACACAGGGTGAGGAACTGGGGCCTCCTGCCATCAGCCTGGTAGGAGAATTTGGAAGCACCTCGTCCAGTCTAGTGAAACTTTCAGACTAGCAGCTCTGGCTCACTCCTTGATCACAGCCTCCTACATGACCCTGAGCCAGAAGCACACGGCTAAGCTGCTCACACATTGCTGACTCTCAAAAATTGTATAAATGTTTGTCGTTGAAAGTTGGTAATTTGGGATGTAATTTTCATATAGACATGCTAGAACAATTATGAAGCAAGCCAAAGCATTCACCAAAATGCTGTGGACATGAAACTTTCTCAGGATCATTTTTCCTTAATTCTTGCCACTAGAGGGCAACATGGTCATAAATGATAGCTTGAATAAAGAATTGAAATGTGTTCATTATTTCTACAGAACTGTAGATGTCGGAAAATGTAGGAAACTTTAGAGACCGTGTGGTCCATCTCTGTTAAATTACAGATGAGAATTCTAACACCCAGAAACATTAACTGGCGCAAGGTCACACAGACTAAGATCTAAATGTGCTGACTTAGAAAACTTTAGAGACCGTGTGGTCCATCTCTGTTAAATTACAGATGAGCATTCTAACACCCAGAAACATTAACTGGCGCAAGGTCACACAGACTAAGATCTAAATGTGCTGACTTAGCTGCATTTGAGAGCATTCAAACTCATTAACTATAAATCAATCCTGCTGTTTTTAAAAATCAGTAGGTGTAGGAATAACAAAGAGAGAAGGCCTTTAAAAAATCCTCTTCATTTCAATTAACATATCAATCATCCTACTATCAAGAGTCTTACAACAGCCATTCTTATTTACTGGGTGCCTATTATACCGCTTGCCACACATGGCACGCTCTGTGTCTCTTCCTTTAATCTGCCCAACGGAACTTCGAAACATACTCACCCACACCTGAGGGCTAGTATCTTGTCCAAGGATGTACAGCTAGGAGGGCGTAAAGCACATTTGAATCTAATATAGTTTAAATTTCAACACAATGATTTTGTGGGGACAAGTCATAGTCTGTTTTTACCAGAAGTTTATTGCTTCTGGAAAGTGTTTAGCATGTTAAGACATATAAATTGTTGTCATATAGCATTGGAAGAAAAAAGAAAAAAATTTTGATGATTCTTCTTCCCTTTTTCCCTGTCTTTCCCCTTCTTTGTCTGTGTGCATGTCTCTCATTCTCTCTCTCTCATACACACACATTGCCTCTTCCCTTCATTCGCTGCCCAGCTTTGTGATCTTGGTGAAGCTCCCTAGCGTTTCATTTGTTGCATGTTCTTCATTTCTAAAATGAGAATATACCTATCTCCTTCAAACTCCCAACGGGGATGCGGTGATTATTAATGAGGAGGTTTTTACGAATCTCATGTGGTTTTGCAGAAGACAGGTGTTCAATAAAGCTGAAGAACCTTTATAAAGGTCATCAGTCATATTTGAGGACAGATGGGCATAATGACAGATGAGCAACTGGCAGTAGTGACTTGGCTGGAGCTGCTGCCACATCGAAGTGTTGAAGTGATATCAACATGTCAGCAGCACCAAGCTAGGAGCAAGGAGGGCGCACTGTCTTCCCGCCTCACCCAGCACTCTGCTGCTTGTCCCTGCCTGGCACGTACTGGTACACAGGCAGGCAGGCAGGCCACTCTAGAACCACCTCCCTATGGGGACACAGAGCCTCTGCAGACAGCCACTAGTGATGCACATCACTCCTCACACCAAGAGATTGAGCCTATTCCTCCTCCCTTCCTCCCCGTTGGCCCCAGGATGCTTCCTTCCTCCCCTTAGACCGGCAGGATGCTGAGAAGAGGACTCTGCGGATCCAAGTCAAGCATTCAGGAAGAGCAGCAGCTTCTGCTGCTTCTTTCTTAGAAAAGCGCTGCAGCGTAAGAACTCAGCTACCTTGGGACGACTTCACTGTGAGGAAGCCTAAGCCAAGTGGAAAAAGAGAGACATGTCTGGCCAGCTCTGTGTTGCTCCAGAGATCACAGCTGACATTCTGGGTATCAGTGAGTGAAGAAACAATCTTAGACATTTCAGCTCCAGTAGACACCATGGGGGGCAAAAGAACTGTCCAGCCAGATTGCAGAAATGGGAGAATCAAGAAATATATCTGGTGGTGTTAAGCCATTATGTTCTCAGGCTATTTCTTACAAGCAATCGATATTTGAAACACCTACCAGCATTTGAAATAGGGTCACATATCTCTTGATGCCCTATTTTTGCTTAATGAAATACAAGACTCTTTCTGAGAAATGAAATGAGGGAAAAATAAGTTTGGTAAAATGGAGGGGCTAACTCCTTCTTAGAAGATATGGCTTTTAGCTTCATGAAAGTCCTGTTAAAATAGAGCATTTATCCCTTCATTCACTCAGTCATGATCAATAAACACTTGTCGGACACATCCGCTGTCTGTTGGGCGTCTGGCGTAGCTCTGAGCGTGGAGTATGTAGTGCTAAGCGAGACAGATGAGGTCCCTGATCTCACGGCGCTCACATCCTGATCAGAGAGGACAGATGACCACCACACAACGAAGAGATTGTTTCAGCTGATGATAATGCCAGTGTGGGGCAATGTGGCAGCATTGTCACAGGATTTCCAAGGGTCCCTTCCTCAGGCGGCGCCGATAAACTAACAGGCAAAAAAAAGGTGGGGGGGAAGAAAATGTTCCCTCTGAGCTTGTAATACAATTATCTGCAATGGAATTAGCCATTTCTTGGTGTGAGTCCTCATTCCTGGGTCAGGACGGGGCAGGGCCTTTCCCTTGGGGATGTCACACCTGCAGCTTTGCTGACTCTGAAAGAAAGGTCTTTCCTCCACCCATCAGCTCTGGTTGGTGAGGATGGAGCGCGACCGGCAGGCGGGGACTGTGCTGGCCAAAGTCCCCTCTGTCACACTGTCCCTGACACATGGCCACAGCTGCTCTCACAGAAAATGTTCGAATTGGGAGAAAAACAGGGACTAGATATTTTACAGTCCTAAATTTCAGGAAGCCTCCATCACTGATTTTCTCCTGAAGAAAGGGCATTTTTAATGAGAAAATTCCATGTGAGAAAAACCACCCTCCTTCCACACAGCATGGCTCTCTGTGGTATCCTGGAGTTGAGGTACTTTCATGTTCTTTTAAAATTAGTGGTGACTTCTTTGAAAGAAGGGATTGAGACTTACTTTTTTTTGCTTCTTCATCTTCTGACACAGTATCCCTCCCACAGCACATGCTTAATATTTGTTGAGTGAACTGATATTGGATAAAAAGACCACTGTCTGCATTTGAATCCCAGCTCTGCAACCTTCTAGTCGTGTGACCTTCATCAATTTACTTAATTTTTCTACATTTCCACTTTCTCAATTGTAAAGTAGGAAAAATGATATTTTCTGGTTTCTGTGAGCCAGAAGGCTGGCCCTCACCAGACCTGACCCTGCAGGTGCCTTGATCTTGGCTTCCCAGCCTTCAGACTGTGAACAATTTCTGCTGTTTATAAACGGCCCTGTCTATGGTATATTGTTCTAGCAGCCTGAACAGACCAGAACAATTCCTATTGCCAGAATGCAATTTGACTACATCTTTACTTAAATGGTGACTTTTAAAACTCTGCTTTCATCTAAGATAAATTTCTTATTTGGCTAGCATTAAGTGGCAATAGCTGAGCATCTATTATAATTTATCAAAATTCACTATTTTGGAAACATAATAACATTAATTTTAAATCGATGAGTAGTGACCATAGTTTGCTAGGACAAGAGCCAGAAGGACAGAGAAAAGGAGCAGCAAATGACTCACTTTACAAATCATAGTTTTTATGCCAGAAGAGCTCATCTCAAAATGCCTATTCAAGAAAAAAAATCATTGTAAAGTCCCATGATGTTAATGGGATAAGTGATATGTCCTTGCATAAAAGAAACCCAGGTAGAAGTTTTGAAACAACATGTATTTAGTAGAGATAAAAGAGTGACACGTATAGGTTTTGTCCTTCTGTATGTTTACCATGTATTTATGGAGTAAGTGGATAAGGAATTACTGACACAGAATTTGAAAAACATTCTGGGATGACTATAATTTTTATAGCATGCACTTTATTTGATGAGAACACATCATGACTGAAATGGTATGTTGAAAATATAAGATTTTAACATTAATCAGTATTCTAACATTAATCATAATAGATAAAGTTATGGTTAGGACTATTAGTTTAACACTAAAACCTGTTTGTTGTAGACTTTAAATTTATAGGAAACAAAATGATAATATTCAATTTATAGGATAATGTCTTTAAGTGGTAGAAACTACAGTCTGTAAGAGGATTCAAACCTTTTCTTCTCTAACCACCAGGGAGAGCCTTATCTGCTTTCAAGTTACTAAAATCTGATCTTTCAAAACCTGCATCATTCCTAATTCCACTGTGCCCCTCATCCTGCAGTGAACATAAGGGTTTATAAACAATCTAGAAATAGCAGCAAATGATTCCTCTTTCTATAATGCCTTCTGCGAGGTTTCCAACTACTCACATGCCTTGATGGCCAGGCAATCTGCAATCTGAGGTGTTCTGAAGCTCCTGGCAATCCAGACAGTATCTCTGTTTGGAATGAAATTAAGCAGAACAATTATCTCTGTAACCTTAAAAACACTGACTGCCTCTTAAAAGCAAGCTCTTGAAAATATAAGATAACAGCAGACCCCACAGATATGGCAAAAATAAAATGAGGTGTTTTATCACTGGGCTCCAGCTGGTAAATATATGGCATGAGGCGGGGCCTACGTGAGCTGGTCACACATTCCCTCCTGCTCCCAAGAGCTCGGTGAAAAATCCTTAGGATTTACCTTGACAGGTACTAGCATAATCTTTTTAGTTCTGCACTTAAAAGTGTATGTTTGGCTCAATTGCCACCCAGAATTTCTGGGTCTATATCATTATCAGATAAACAATATCTTCTCAGTGTAACATTTTACTGAAATTTTATCTCCATTCATTCACAGACTCACAAATATGAGGGGACTTAAATGCTCCTTAGTCCTGAGAAAGTGGGTGATGACAGGGTCAGGAATGGAATAGACAGGAAAATATTCCCTAGTCTGTATTGTCTTGGCTTTTTACCCAGTTTCTGCTGATGACCAGAATAACAAGGGCCTTGAAATACTGGTGAATGGGAAAAAAGACTACTATCTCTACCAGGTGTGGTGGGGCAAACTTTGACTACCTAGTCTTTCAATTCATAAAAATTTATCAAGTGCCTACCGTATTCCCCAAATTATACTGGGGATAGAAACACCACCCTTAAAGAGACAGGCATAGTTCCTACCTCATGAGAGTTTACAGTGCAGAGGTGCAGGACACCATACAAATATTTACAGCAAATTGTTACATAATTACTGCAAAGTGTCACATAGTTCTATGGCAATACACTGTAGCGGTGGTTCTACTTCATCCAACTGGTGGACTAGAAAAGGGCACTAAAGTGATCCTCATGTGAGTAGCCCAATGCAAATGATTTAATTTCCTGGGCTCCATTTCCTCTGATGGAAGTAAAGAGCTTGAACTAAATGAATTCTAAAGGTCTTTTCCAGTGATAAGGTGCTAGCATGCTACTCAAACCTCCCAATCCCAGTGATAAATCACTGGCTTTCTCTGAAAGAATAACTTGAGAACTTCTTGGGGATTAACTGCAGACAATATTACATCTTTGAACATCCTTAGGGTGGCAGCTGTGAAGATCCAATGTGGAATCCTGAGAGGCTCACTCACCTCTACTGGAAGTGCCCTGCAAGCAAGGTCCTGAGGACCCCAGAAGGTCTTCCTCTTTGTTTCCCCAAGGCTCCCTCTTTTGTTGTGTGTACCAAGCTACTCTCTTCTGGTCCATAGTGCGCGGTTACATGCCCCAAAGGTGCCATCTCAAAAGGCTGCAACCCTGTCATTCTCTCCTTGAAGTAACCAAGTGATTAGCAAGAACCCCAAATTATTCTTCTTAGACCTTTCATTACCAAACCTAGTGATAAATCACATACACAAAGACATAGGAACATCTCTTTCTTTTCCAAAGTTTCCGAGGTAAATATGCAAAAGACTTTCATAATTGATGCTGTAGCATGGCTCTTTCAATGCCTTTCTCTTTTATTTTCTCTCCTATTGAGGCTAGAAAATGAGTATGTTCAACTCCTAGCTTTTCCCTCAGCTAAGAATAGCCATGCAACTCAATTCTGGCCATGAATGGTAGATGAAAGTCCCCGGAGACTATGTGAGCTTCTTGTTACTTTGTTTTTTCATATTCCTCCTGCTTGGAACATACCTGTGATGGCTGGAAGTACAGCAGCCATCATGAAACCACAAGGATGAAATTTATCACTAATGTTGATGGAGCAGAAAGAGAAGAATTTATTTACTTGATGACATTTTAGAGATGCTGTCTCAGCCTTGGGCAGTCTACACTAAACCTGATATTTTACATGTTTATTGGGTCCTTGTTACTCACAGATGAATATCATCCTAACCGATCAACTTCTAATAATAATGTTGATCATATACAGAAGTTTCATATATAGAAACTTTAGGGTGACCTTGGTGTATTTAACAGGAGCCTAAAATTGTACAGAACATGCTTACATGTGTTTGGGTGATATAAAATTGTCTTGGTTTTTTCATAGCATTTATTTTCTGAGTATGAAGTTTTGATCAACCATGTGATGGTTTTGCTATGTTTTGATTAAAGTGACTTCTATAATAGCTTTTCCCTAATTACAAAATTCACATCCACTTTCAAATATCAAAACTTTGTCACAAATTAGGATATTTTTTAAAGTAAACAGAATGCTCAGTAATTTAACAGGGAAGAATGTAATACAAGCATCAATATAAGAAAGCCATTTCAAAAATATGTTCACAAACATTATGTGTATATGTCTTCCAAGATCACTAAATTGCAACAAAAACTTTTTAGATGTACTCCTATAATTTTTTATATTATCCATTCAACAGATGTATTTCCCCACAAGCGTTGTAGGTCTATAATAAGCAAGTTGCTTGCATATTCTTTAAGATGTAGTTCTTGCTCTAGCGGAGGAGCCCTATCCACAAAGAACTCCAAAGATACACGCTCTCTTCCGATGGGTAAGGGCTATCCCAGAAGTAAATACAGGGCAAGGAGGAGAGAAATCCAGAGGGGCTTGTGGCTTTTCATGCCAGGCGTAAGAGAGGCAAGGGCTGGAGGGGATCTGGCAGGGCCTGAGAATCTTGTCGTATGGCATAGAACCACTGCAGCCTTAATTTTCACTCAGCTAGATCATACCTATAATCAGCTGGGCCATCAGGGCCTCTGAGGCAGTTCTGCCCCTCCCATTGAAGGAAATTCCTCAGTCTGGCTTGTGGTGAGTGAATAGGAAAAGCTCAGCAGCAGTCCTCAGCACCCAGGCATCTCTCTAGCATGTGTTCCAGGCTGCCAGCCTCAGCGCAAAACAAGGGGCAGTGGGGTGTGGCAGAGAGACAAAAATCACCGGAACATCCTGTTTTCACACTCATCTCTGAGTCCTATTTAAAAGAAAAATGTGCACTGAAATCTCTCCAAATATAAATACAACTCCAGCATCCACAACTCTGTGTTTTATGCTCAATCACATTTTCAGTGATTTAATTTATTAGGAGAACAGACTTACTGGCCACCAGTTTTCAAGCATCCTGACCATCTTCTGTACTCTTATCATCTTCGGAGAGAGCATCATGTAGGAATGCAGACGTGTACAGCGCAGAAAATAGTTTGTTTCATTTTTCTAGTTATCAAACTTATTTATCAGGTATAGCTTTAACACTTGGGTAATGTGTATATGTCCAGATTAAGTTATAAGACTCTTTTGCAAGAATAATTTTTTCATTGCTTCCAAAGAAAGAAATTCAATATAATGTTGAATAGAAGTATCACACATTGTTTAAAAATGTTACCCAAACACACGCACACATATACATTTATTTATTTATTTTAAAATCGATGGCTTTTAGATGTTTCATTGTGAAATATTTTATACATTCAGAAAAGTACAGAGAAAATATAATAATCACCTAGTATCCACTATTAAAAATAACAATTTGTCATCCTGTTTTTCAGAATTCCTAACTCTTCACGCTGTGTGATTACTGTCATCCTGAGGCTGGTGCTTGTCTTTCCCATGCATACACACATACTATCACATAATATAGTTTTGTGTGATTTTAGTTTATATGAGTACTATAGTGAACATATTTTACAACATGTTGTTTTACTCAATATTACTGTTTTTGAGATTTATACATGCCGGTACATGTAGCCCTCATTCATGTCTTTTAATTTTTAATATTATATGAACATACCCTGATTTAGTTTTCATTTGGTTGATAGATACTTTGGTTATTATGATTGCCACTATAACTAAAGCAATGAACAGTTCTGTACATGCCTTCTTTTGCAATGTGCGAGAATTTCTTTGGAAAATACACTTAGAAAAGAAGTGATTGGGTCATAGATAAAAAATTTCAAGTTCAATTTTCACAATTATTCAAATTGCTATGAATGATGATTCCCTTTTCTTCACATCCTCACCAATGTTTGATATTCAGCCTTTACATTTTACCAATACGATAGTCATAAAATGATATAACATTTTGTTGCAAACTACTTCTTCCAGTACATAGCTTTTCACTTTCTTATGTTGTCCTTTGATGAATAGACATTTTACATGTTAATGTAAAACTCTTCCTTTAGGATTTGTGAATTCTTCTTATTTAAATTTGTTTTCTCTTCATAAAATATGATCACAAAGTATTCTCATATTTTTTTCTAAGACTTTCAGAGTTTTATTTTTACATTTTTTTCTTAATTCACCTTGAATTGATTTTTGTGTGTGATGTAAGGCAGGAATCAAATGGTATTATTTCCAAATGAAAAACCAATTGTCCAGGACAATTGATTAAACTGCCCTTTCCTACAGCATTGAAATTTTTCCTGTCATAGATCAAGTTTCCGTATTTGGGCTTCCTCATCTGTTTCACTGTTTTACTTATCTGCCCTTGTGCTAACACCATACTTTTTAATCTTAAATACTGATACTTAATAGGGAGATTTTCTTCATCTTGTCCTTCTCTTTGAAAATTGCCTGGGCTACTCTTGTCCCTTGGTTTGTTAATTAAACATTTATAATTAGTTCTCTAGTTACAGACATACACACATGCACACACACACAGAGCTGTTGGAATTTGATTGTGATTGCAACAAATTTAAAATTAATTTGGCAGGAACTGACATCTTTATAGTATGGAATTTTCCTATCCATCAGCTGGCATAATCTCTTCACCTATTTACATCCTTTTAAATGTCTTTCCAGAACATTTCATACATTTCTGCACATTTTTAGAGGTACTCCTAGGTATCTAGCAATTGTGTCCTTAATTTAAATGATGTATTCTAAAATTACATGTTTTGTATTATAGATAATTAAGAATGTAATTGGTTTTTAGATAGTAATATTATATGTAGCGAGCATTCAAGACACTCATTAACTCTATTAATTTGTGGATTCTCATAGAATTTTTACATAACCAATAATGTAGTCATGTATAATGGTGATTTTGCTTCTTTCTGTCCAATCCTTAGCCTTTAATTTCTTTTTCTTACCATGCTGGTTTGGACATGCAATATAATGTTTCATAGAAGCATCA